AGGTCGTTTGATATGTTATATACAATACGATATTTCGGATATGACACTTTATACAACTTATGTTGGATATTGCGCAATATGCAGCATATGTTGGATGTGACCCCATATGCAATATGCTATGTCTGATATGACGCTATATGCAACACTGTATGCTGCATGTTGTGTTATATAAAACATGATATGTTGCGTGTGGCACCACATACAACACCCTATACAGGCTGATATTTCACTGGTCTAACTATGTTACATCCTGGTATGTTGGATATCTGATTATGCTCATGTATTTGTATATGTCATGTAATGACCGCCGTTTAGGATGGAAGACTTTGGTTTCATGAAAAATAAAATAAATTATAAAAGAAATATTGCTTAAAGGTGAGTCATCAGTATTGCAGGTATTTGCGGCTACGGTTGTAAGAATATATGACGAAACACTTAATTATGTATGATTATATCAAAAGTGTGATATTTATCATCCAAAATTTCTACTGGTGGAACTACGGAAACATTGGCTTACACGAAAAAATTGGCTTGCTACGCGCCTGGAAGGGGGTTAATCCCCACAAGGGTATATTCAGACGTGAAGCCGTTACCGAATTCACACTGAACTGTCAATTAAGTGTGAAATGTTGTACGTTTTACATATAACACATACAAATTACGGATAAATTACATTTAAAGATCTACGCATTTTGATTTCATTAAAACATTTCACAAAATTAGGATATTTCCGGTTATTGTAAACACTTAGACCGCCATGACACGTCTGTATTCAGCATGACTTAACTACTGGTGTCTGTCGGTCCGTGGGTGGTCACACATCAATAAATAACGCTATGACTTATACGTGTGCTATTTGGAGTAGACGATTTCCTAGAAAAACAACTTCCTGCTTGCAGCGACATTTTTATCCAATCAATGAATGCTCCCGTGACTATATAACGCAGGAGGTGAACGGAACAGCCACAGTAGTACAATTCGTAGAAGCGTGTTCTCTCGATCTGCTTGTTCACATTTCAAGGTAAGCAAAACATTTTGACAACTTGGTTACCTGACTGGCTAATATGCGTGTGAATGATACATTTATTCATCAATAATGTGTTTCAGGAATTATTCGCCAGATTATCAATTCTCCAGTAAGAATATAAAACGGCTCGCTTTTAATAATCACATGACGCGAGGCAGCATTGTCACACATTCTGCAGGTGCATGCCTTTGACAGTTTTGCAAATTTATACATTGTGGCTATTGTGGTAATTTAACGTCTCAAATATTCACTGCATCGTGAGCCGGTGTCCGGTGTACGAGCTTGGCAATGTCATGTTGCGACCCAGATAGCCTAGTACGTGAGGCTCCTTACCGGTGACCAATCTATACGCTTGTTACTAAGTCAGTAAATTGGGTTTTAAGCCGCTTTGAACAGAAGTCTCGTTAAGCTTGATCACGTCGTGTCAGCTTAATGTGGGAGGAAAGCCCGAAGTGATGCCGGTCTCAGCCGTTTAGCACTTTGGTGAAACTCATGGTACTGGAAAATTTTGAAACGTAATGTAGCCGAGTCGGGTACTGCTTTTTAAGTGCACAAGGGACGCAACTCTACACAGCATATTGTGCCGCCTTTGACGAATGAGTGATCCGTTCCCGCTTCATAGTTATACGTTATGGACACGTTGATATACATCAGTGTGTGTTTTATCCGAATATAAATGTGATCAAATATGTTAAAAGCAGAATAGATCTCTAAGTAAAGACAGGTAACGATGAAGGTATATTTTTATAATTTAGTCAAGGAAATAGTGTATTACACAATACATTTATTGATATAAGAATTGCATTTAGCGTGACTAGTCATATTATATTCCATGCTGTCTTGTGGTTAAATGATGTAGATATGCCAAGGATATGGTTCAACCGTGTGAAGGTGGTGATGGATGTAACGCCTGTTATTTTAATATGTATATTTTAAGTCGTTTTGTGGGTCGATTTAGTGAGCAGAAAACCAGAATGGGTTCCATTGAGCCAATCTAGCGCTAATACATTCATATTTCCCGATATCTAGACTTAAATGTATCTTTAAAATGCTAAAGCCAAAGCTCTAAAATCGTTTGCGGTAGTAGGATTATGACTCTATATGTTTCAGGCATTTAAATGGGGAAATTGCCAGGAAAAGATGTAAAATAATATTGACATTAAGTGCCTCAATGCAATGATCTATAAAGACAGAAAAAAGTAAATTATTTGAGTTAATTTGATGTTGCCATTCATATAACCATGTCACGTGCCTGGCGCTCGGCATTAATGGGTACAACAAGGACTGGTCGGCTCAGAGTCAGTATAATGTGTCTGAGTGGGGTATTCATTCTTCACTGCGGCATGGTATCTCAGTGGGCTAGCACTATAAAACCAGCTTAAGTCTGGGCTAGTACAAGTAGCCGCACATACGCATACACACGCATGCACGTCGTCATATGAGCGAAATATTCTCAAGCACGACGTTAAACCCAATTTCACCTCACCTCACCTCACCATGTCACGTGACTTGTAAACATAACGACACGTGAGAACATCCCCAAAATGCACTTTCCTTTATATATGCACAGCCGAAGTCGCTGCAATTCGCCGCTCTGAGTTAGGTGCCTTAGTTAATGGGTTCGAGTCCCAGATTAGCCTGAATTTTGAAATAGAGAAGCTCACTGTAGGCTGCGTACAACTACGTTAAGGAATCCCGTTGAAACCATGGTAAAACCGAACAAGCCATCTCTGAATCTAACACGGAAGATAAAATAAAATTAGGATCTAGTATGATGAAAAGTATCGTCAAAGAAAAACAGGTAAGCGTATAAAAACAAAACAAATTCTGCCAAAAAATGAGAGAAATAAGTTTTTACCGTTATCATACTTTGCGACAAACACGTTTAACAGTCATGATCCTGCCGCCATGCCAGTTAGATTAGGTTGCCCACTAAGATGTCTGAATAACATTTCAGCATATCGGCGGCGTAAGTTATTTCTGCTTTGTCATACGGAGGCCGTGATGAATGCCCTCAGCCATTGCTCTGTATGCTTTCATAGCTAAACTTAAGCCATCAAAACGAGTCAGTGCAAACCACAAACGTCAGAATGCGGGGAATTTCCTCGCCCATGTCTTTGTCGTCATAAGCGTGTCTCTTCGTACCTGTAAGCTGATAATCCGCCCGCAGGAACTACACAGAAGGAAGCGACGACTACATCAAGGTAAATACTTCCACGACGAGCAGGAAATACCGGCACTTTGATCGTGCGAGAAGCAAAATGGCGAGGGTTTGAACGTGCTGTTAATGAGTTGACCAGCGCATGCCGTCATGTTCATAACAGTCACGTGGTATTTGAACGTCGCTGAAGCGAGGACTTCTAGTCACGTGGTTTCGATAAGTCGCGTTCTTGGAAAATAATTAGGTTTAGTTTATAGATGCTCGTGTCTTAAGGAACAGGTCATATATCTTGGAGACTTGTATGGGAAATCTTAATTCTTGTAAGGTAGGTATCTGAGAGCAATGCATCTGTCTGTATGGATGGTAAATGAATCGCTACTTTGTTAAACATAACTTCTGGTGGTAATATTCCCCTTTCTCCTGCAATTAGATAACTATAAATGAGTTTGTGTAGTGATCGGACTTATTCTATGCAAGTGTTCTTGACAGTTGGTGATTATCACAATCAAACACGGTGTCTATGTAAGTTGTAATTTAGACCTCTAATAACCTTGTATAGTGGATATTTATCTTATCTTGTCAAATATTCTATTTTCCTCACATAGTGACCAGCCAAGCTTGATATTTGTATGTTTATATTTATTGTTGAATTTTAGATTATATGTGGCACGGGATGGGATATACATGTTATGTGAACTAATTTATATGAAGTGTATTTTACCTTTCTGATCTTCAAGGCCTTACTCTGAAAAGTATCATTGTAAGTAGTTGAGAATATAGTGTTCTTAACACATTATCAGATATTGTATTTATCCCATATTCACAATATCTCATGCTGGATCTGATACCTTCACCTGTGAAGATCCGGGTTAGAATTGATCTTCAGTAACCCATGCTTGTCGTAAGAGGCGATCATTTTCAGACCGCCGCTATATACATGTAGCTGGAATAATGCTGAGTGCGGCGTAAAACTAAACTTACTTACTCACTGTATTATGGAATACATGTTAAGGAATGCTGCATGACATTTACGGGACAAGTTATTGCATCTCAAATATTAAAGATTGGTCACGTTTTGGTTAGAGTAGAGAGAGTCATTGGTTTCAACCAGAACCGGTAGCACCTGGGAACCTATAGGTTATATTGTGTTGATAGATTATGTATAGATGGCTTCGTATCCCAACTGCGTAGATCGATGCTCATGCATGATCACATGATTGTCTGGTCCAGACTCGATCATTTACAGACAGCGGCCACATAGCTAGTAGATAAAGCCAAACTAACATGCAGTCTCTGAGCACAAATCACTTCGGACCTGGGAGTATTAATAACAACACCGTGGGTGAGACGGATATAAAAGTTGTCCCTGAAACGGATGGTGGTCAAATCCTGAGTATGTTTGCTGTAGTCTAGATTGGTGGTGACTAGCTGAGTGATATTCCACAACAGCTGCATATGAGACATCAGAGACTGTGAGTGAGACAGATCTAAAAGTTATCCCCAAAACTGATGATGGTCAACTTCGGAGAATGTACGACGTCGTTAAGATTGGTGGTGTTTGAGTAATATTTAACACTGCGGCCAGTGAGACATCGAGTTTTGTGCGAATCAGCACCAGCCAAGTCACCGACCGTGACCACTCCATCCTGACTACCCAATTCTTAGTATCCCATCCGCATGATTCGAATGTTTATACTATCTACTGCTTGGGAACCTGTTCTACTCAGAAATTCCAACCAGTAGGTCCAGATGTGGGTTTGAAATATTCCACTGTATATATGTGAATACTGAACTCTTCTATCCCTGTTTCAGAAAGGGTCAAAGACAATGGCAGCTCCAGCCGTCAATCCCGAGAATGTCAAAATCCAAATAGGCGGCAAAGACGACCTACCTGCTGTGTTCTGCAAGAACACAAAGACAAAGATCGGCGTCGTGGTTCTTCAGGAATGGTGGGGATTAAACCAGCAGATCCAAGACGAGGCTGCAGAGATATCGAGAGACGGTAACTTCTCCACGATCGTTCCCGATCTTTACCGAGGCAAGTTAGCGACCGACAATGAAGAAGCAAATCATCTCATGAGCGAATTGGACTGGCCGGGCGCAATTCAAGACATCACAGCCTGTGCCAAGTATCTGCTAGAGAATGGCTGCACCAAAGTCGGGGTGACCGGGTTCTGTATGGGAGGGGCTCTTAGCATGGCATCTGCGGGCCTGATCCCTGAGGTCACGGCGGCTGCACCATTCTACGGCATCTGTGGCGATAGCCTGTGCGATCCCTCCAAAATCACTAAGCCTCTCCAATGTCATTTTGGTGCTAAAGATGCAGTTGTCGGATTCTCCGATCCAGAATCCCAGGAGAAACTCAAGAAGAAGCTGAACGAGGGCAAAGTGCGGCATGAATTCTACAGCTACGAAGCCGGTCACGCCTTCACCAACAAAACAGGTCCGAACTACAACGAGGAAGCCTGTAAGAAAGCCCTTGGAAGAATGTACGATTTTTTCCGGAAGGAGTTGAGCTAAACAGCAGTCTCTGGTAATCCACGCTGATTCTGGGACTAAAATCCCTCGTAGCGGTTATGAGTGACTCTAGAGTTGCATCTTATGGTTCAGCCAGAGCTTCAACCAGCATATCTCCACGCTTGAGTGTTACGACACATACACATATTTATTGGTTGATAAATAACACGTACTAGTATACTCAGTGAATCACATCTTGGATGGGAAAAAATGTCGTCATGATGTTGACAGTTCATAAACTTTCCGTTGTTATGTTAAGAATTTGATTCCAAATGTTTGCAGCTTCTATGGCTTCTGTATACGTGTGTACAGATGGCAATAAAACTACACTCAGTGTACGCAGGTGTTGATATTCTTATTTCATTTCAAGACCACTATCGATAACTAGCGTTAGCTAATGGGATATCCTGTCCATTGTCTTTGTGCTTTCACTTATTGACTGACTGGATGATATCAAGTGTCACTATGAAACACAACGTCAAATGGAATCAAAGGGGTTCAAATATGATGTGAAGTTACAACATGGGATTCAGTTATCTAAATAGCAACGCTATGGGATAATGATGCATAGCAACACATTTACTGGATTAAGAGTGAGTGAGTTCAGTTTTACGCCGCGCTCAGCAATATTCCAGCTATGTGGCAGCGACCTGTAAATAATCGAGTCTGGACCAGACAATCCGGTGATCAATAGCATGAGCATCGATCTACGCAGTTGGGATACGATGACGTGTCAACCAAGTCAGCGAGCCTGACCACCCGATCCTGCTATATGGCAGCGGTCTGTAAATAATCGAGTTTGGACCAGACAATCCAGTGATCAATAGCATAAGCATCGATCTACGCAGTTGGGATACGATGACATGTGTCAACCAAGTCATCGAGCCTGACCACCCGGTCCCGTTTGTCGCCTCTTACGACAAGCATGTGTTACTGAAGATCAATTCTAACCCGGATCTTCACGGGTCCACTGGATTAAGATGCCATGATAAAATGTATAGCAACACACTGGATTAAGACAGTTCGTTATGACGTATAGCAAAACACTGGATTAAGATACTTTGTTATGAGTTGAGTTGAGTTGAGTTGGGCTTTACGTCACATCGGCATTATTCCAGCCATATAGTGACGAGAACAAGTCTGCATTAATATACATTGTAAGTACAAAGTGGTTTCGTTTCAAAGACATACATTCATTACGTTGTCATTTTAGAACAGAGAATGTCATAGCACTAGATTGAAAAGCAGATACATTCGTTATTGACATTACACAGTTACATTTTATGATATAGATCGACTTCCCTCAGGTAGTTTAGTATCAGATGAGCGCTCACGCTGGAGAACAGATCTTTCAGATTGGTTGCGTGATAATGCGAGTCCCTTGCAGATGTAAAATCCACACAGTCAAGCAGAATACTTTGTTATGATGTATATCTGCACACTGTATTACGATATCTTGTTATGACGTATAGCAACACACAGGATGAAGATCCTAAATTATGAAGTATAGAAACACACTTAATGAAGATATTTTGTTAAGATGTATAGCACCACACTGGGTTAAGATACTTTTTTACGATTTATGGCAACACACGGGATTCGTTCAATACTTTTACTTAATGTAAAGCAACGCATGGATGAAGATATTTTGATATAGATTTATGCATATAGATAGATTAATAACACGTCCTTGTAAATACACCTAGCAAATCTAAAAAATATTCATCTCCAAAATCACAAATCACAGAGCCCACAAAACTGAAACTGTGGTGCCAAGGGAGGTAATGCCGCTTCCACTAATATTCTTGAAACGTCTTCCATAATCCGCCTCAATGTCTTACAATCTTTATCTTGTAGTCAATGACCTTACCATGCCAGACCATGGGCGGACTAGGAATTTTGAAAGGGGGGTTTCAAGGGGTTCGACCCCCCTGATCCCACCCCACCCCTACCCCTTGGCTCCGCCAGCGCTAAAAAAAAATTCAATGTGGTATCAAGTCATTTTCAAAGGGGGGGGGGGGGTGTCAAACAAATTATCAGTGGATCCTGGGTGAAATTTTCATACACACCCTATCTAGGACCCCTATGTTATGATGATTCTTAATTAAGCCTTCGTCGTATCTGTTGAATATAACCGATCAACACTCATTCACTCACTTCAAGCTAATACCAACTTAACCCAACTCGCTCATTTCCAATTCTTCCTGTTCACTTTGTGCGTGTGCGTGCCTGTTTGCCTGCGCGCGTGCGTGCATGCATGCATGTGTGTGTGTGACGCTCCTGTAACGGATTCTCCCGCTGCATTCTGTGTCCTGGTTGTTCATCTGGACGCCCAGGGCAGTTGAATTCCTTTCCCAATGTCGTCTCCAACTTGTTTAAGGTCGTTAGAAATTGCCTAAGAACAGACCAACCAACCTAGACACAGGGGTGCACATTGCAATCATTGATCTGTACATTTTACATCCATGTTTGTTTTTACATTTTACATTGCAATCTTTCATCTGTACATTTTACATTCATGTTTGTTTTTACATTTTACATTGCAATCTTTCATCTGTACATTTTACATTCATGTTTGTTTTTATATTTTACATAGCACTCTTTGAACTGTACATCTTACATTCATGTTTGTCTTTACTAGTTCTTTTTTTTTCTTTTTTTTTAGATGAATCTAATACGCTTCAAAACCATATTAACGAAAATTATACTACATTTGCAATGTCGTAGAGCCTATACAAAACTGCGAAAATGTTACATATGATATGTGGGACTCTGTTCCGTCTCTGTACTACTGATTGTACGACTATGTAAGTATGTGCCCGCTTGAAACTGGTTTTCCCTTCCGACTGCAATACGAAGATTATATGTCCGCTTCACAAATAATGGCCTTAAGTTGACGACGCTTCCAATTGTCTGTGGAACTCTACTATATTTACCACACGATCGCGATAGCTCCAGTCATATCAGGGCATGACAGCTCCACAGTTATCAGGGCATGACAGCTCCTCTATTATCAGGGCATGACAGCTCCTCTATTATCAGGGCATGATAGCTCCACTACTATCAGGGCATGACAGCTCCACAATTATCAGGGCATGATAGCTCCACTATTATCAGGGCATGACAGCTCCACTACTAGCAGGGCATGACAGCTCCACTGCTATCAGGGCATGACAGCTCCACTACTATCAGGGCATGATAGCTCCACTATTATCAGGGCATGACAGCTCCACTACTATCAGGGCATGACAGCTCCACTACTATCAGGGCATGACAGCTTCACTACTATCAGGGCATGACAGCTCCACTACTATCAGGGCATGATAGCTCCACTACTATCAGGGCATGATAGCTCCACTACTATCAGGGCATGACAGCTCCACTACTATCAGGGCATGACAGCTCCACTACTATCAGGGCATGACAGCTCCACTACTATCAGGGCATGATAGCTCCACTACTATCAGGGCATGACAGCTCCACTATTATCAGGGCATGACAGCTCTACTACTTTCAGGGCATGACAGCTCTACTACTATCAGGGCATGACAGCTCCACTACTATCAGGGCATGACAAATCCACTATTATCAGGTCATGATAGCTCCACTATTGTCAGGGCATGATAGTTCCACTATTATCAGGGCATGATAGCTCCACTATTATCAGGGCATGGCAGCTCCACTACTATCAGGGCATGACAGCTCCACTATTATCAAGCCATGATAGCTCCACTGTTGTCAGGGCATGATAGCTCCACTATTATCAGGGCATGACAGCTCCACTGTTGTCAGGGCATGATAGCTCCACTATTGTCAGATCATGATAGTTCCACTATTGTCAGGACATGATAGCTCCACTGTTGTCAGAGCATGATAGCTCCACTATTGTCAGGGCATTACAGCTCCAGTAGTATCAGGGCATGATAGATCAACCTTTGTCGATAAATACATGCGAAAAGTCCAATTCCGATAATGATAACTCAACCATGGTTACGTCAGCACATCTCGACCACAGCCAAACCAGGATATCTCAGCATTAGTCAATAAAGCATATCACAACTATCAACAGCATGAGTTAATGAGCAATTGGTTGTCGCGTGTGGAGTTTCTGATAACTCAAGGTTTAAATAAATGCGCCCATCCCTTTTTCTATATTACAGATTAATTTCTGTTAAAAATAAAGCCAAGGAAACACTCTTCCACCACCATACCTTAAAATGGGTGTATATGCTTCATATTCAAAATAGGGAACAGCGTCCCCTTTCTTGTCACTACTGCGTCTGAAGTGGTGAAATTGAAGCATCAATGATTGTGGGAAAAGTGCCCGACAAAACTGACTATTGAAACGTTGAAGCCATCCCTCTTGGACTCCTGCATTTCCAGTTCGGATGGGTAAATCAGTCGAATGAAATGGCTATTTGATTGTTAGTGAACGACATTACATCATTGAAATACGTTACAGTTCTTAATCAGATTCCATTGTACAGAACACTCAGTATTTTCCACCCGCTAAATCGGTTTAACTTCCCCATGGTGAATCAAGAAATGGTCGCGATTGCCATTGTTTGCAAGCCGACCAAACTACAGAGCCCACGTAAGACCTGGCTACATATACGTCACCGTATTAGACGGAGTGTATCGTCGCTCATGTTATTAACCACCAGCTTGTCTCGCTGGACTTGTGCGATATACAGACTGCAGCATACAGCTAAGACATTGTGTTTGCGCCCGCGCCTATACATAGCCGACAGTTAAACGTGCAAAACACAACACCGGGCGGCATCTTGTCAATAAGCTGGAAAATACGGCCGAAATAGATATACACAATACCGGGCGGCATCTTGTCATTAAACTGGAAAATACGGCCGAAATAGAAATACACAATACCCCGTATTATGTCAATGAACTAAAAACCGGAAGAAATCGAAAACAGAATATCCTGTATTCTGTCATAACTGAAAAATAACAAAAAACGAAATCGACTCTTTTTTCTCTCTATTGCTGCCTTGTTTTCACCTATTCATAAAGTCAGATCGCATGCATAGCTATTTTGTCATGTGCAGTGTTACAATCGGCACATCACGAGTGACCGCCGTTGACGTTTTGCAAACAACATCATTCTCAGCTGTTTATTCTCATCATCTATGTAATCAATAACCCATTTTCCTCGCTCGACCGTCCTCCTTCATTCCGATCAGCTGATGTGTTGACCGTGTTGCCATTGACGACAGACGTAGTGCAGTCAATCATACGCTTGCGGCCCTTCACGGGACGGGTACGCCAACGGACATTTGGGGAAGAGTTAGGTGGGCTCCAGGTTGGACAAACGTTGGAGGGAAGTGAAATAACGGACGCTCACTGCCTCAATTTACTACTCCTTGCCGTTCAAACGTCATTACAGGTATGTTTGATTTATCATATACATGCTATATCGCTTAACACAAGCATAGTCTGTGGCAACTGTCAACACTATTTGTGCGTACAAACTTACTGCAACCATTGTCATTGATATTTATGAAGCAGTTAAAGCATTATAAAGTGAAAATATATTGCATGGCCCGAGCAAACATATATTATTGATTACACTCGATCGTGGCTGGCTGAGTAGACGTAGGGCCCTAATGGAGAATTGTTAAAGCAATCCAGCTGTGGTTAATAGATAACAATGCGTGTCGAAAGGAAACAGTGCTCTAAGTAAATATTTACAAGTGGAATTAACAAGGGACGGGGTAATGTAAACCTTGAAAATGTCTCTCTGCCACACGTCCTCTTGTTCAAGCATTACAGCATTGGCATATTTTATTGTGAATTTTGAATATAAACCACGAGATTGAAATCAGCTATGGGCGGAATGTTTCGTGCTGTCTGTCCTGACAACAGACTATGCATATCCATAACAGTAAACCTTACGATTAATGAACCATGGCGACCGCTCCTTTATATGAAATGTTGGACTTGACAACATTCTGTAAGCTTTCTCTTGCATGCGATCAACGTATTTTGGTATCTTCTGATACTGTATACCCTTAACAGTATCATGCTGTCACATGTTGATTGCGTTTTCTTTTTTTCCAGGCCTATCACTGCGTCGTGCTGTGCACCCACGGACCCGTTCAGTACCCCGTGGGCTGGTATTGTGTTGGACTACAACACCAGCCGGGCCATTCATCAGAGAGATTTGTCTGTTCATGTCGACAGCTACACTACATATTACAAAGCAGGTGCACGGTGAACCATTGAGACGCCTAGATATGATTTTGTTGTCCCGAGTGTCATTAACAGGCGACATAGCCAGCTAGCGTGACCCAGACACATAACCAACACACTGCAAATACCAAGTTATAACGATGTATCCGACGTGTACGCGGACAGAGAATCAAAGAATATTTGCTTATCCTACAAGCTGAATGTTCATTTGCGGGAACGTTAATAGCATAGGACACGCTAAAACCCTACTGACGGTACCTAAAACGTTAGATTTTGGTTGGAAGTTTAGTTGCAATTGTTATTCCCGACTTGGGGTATAAGTGTGCTAGGTGTCGCGTATGTAACACGACAATACATTTGAAGTCTTGAAGTAAATATATTATATTTCGAAAATGCCGGCGAACGTTGCTCGCGAGTCTCTGATGTCCAAGTTCAAGGCCCATTACAAAAAGAACAATCATCCATTGACGCCCGAGTTTGTTATTGCGCACGCCGTGCCTATGTTCTTCTTCACTATCGTCGGCACATGGGTGATTGGCATCGCCGATGTCCTACCCACCATCTACAGGGACAAGGGACCGACTACGGTGCTGCTGCAGAGACTGTTCGTATCCTTCCTCTTCGCCGAGATGATGATGAATTGGCTGTGTATCCGATACGTGGATTCGTCCTACTCCCATTATAAGAAGTCAGGTCAAGGTCACTCGATTGATGTGGAAGGTCAAGGCGATGGGAAAGGAAAAACTTCCGTTGAGAACAATGAAAACGGAAGTCGGACGCCGCAGACCGCTGGGCTGCGTGAACGATTCGTTAAACCATCTTCTATGGATTTTTCTGGTTCGGCGAGCAAGGATAAAACTGGGGGTAAAACTGTTAAATACCCTTACTGGTCGTGGTGTCCATGTTTTCAGTGTGACGTCATGCGGCCCCCTCGATGCCACCACTGCGCGCTATGCAACACGTGTATTCTCAAACGGGACCACCATTGCTACTTCGCGGGCACCTGCGTGGGGTGGCGGAATCTACGTCATTTTGTGATATTCTGTCTGTGGGCAACGCTTGCGTGCTCCTACGCTCTTGTCCACGCCTTGTATTACATCTACCACTATTTCTGGTTCCGGATTTCATACCTCGACTTCATGCCACCATTAACAGTATTACGGATGATGCTCGGTTACACGTCTCCAATAGTTGTTATATACATGTCTGTCACATGTTTTTTGTTCTATTTTGCTTTTTTATCAGCTTCGTTCTTACTTGAACATACAATGATGATCAAGAATGGAATGACCTCATTTGAACATGACAATCTGAACAGAAAAAAAATTGAGATCATTGACAACCGTCCCCTATCTGGAAGACTTCAGTCAGTGTTTGGACTTAACTGGGGCCTGAGTATTTTTCTTCCATTACACAATGTGTACCCCCCAACTGAGGACCCTCTACTGTGGCCAACGATTAAGGTACAACGTCATACCTCGGAGTAAAACATTCTGAAAAGCAGTTGCCATCTCTCCAGCAATCCCACACCGTCCAGATTCCGTGAAAGGCTCCCACGGAACAGTGATGTAATTCACGAGCTGAGATAGGTCGATCTTACCGACAGTCACTACTGCAATCACACTTATCATGAAACTGTACATGTTTCTTACTCATTTAAAATATTTGCTTTTACCAAATAGATGTACATATATTTACTGGTATATGGATTTTCTATAACATTGTTTATATGGCATTTGTGATTACAGCATGTTGTGCCGCCGAATCATTTTTTAGAATATATATTAGGTATTAGATCGATATTTTCAAATGGTAAATATTTCTACTGTACGGTGCCGCCAAAATTGTTGCTGCTATTGATCACTTTGTGCTTTAAACTGTGTTGCCTGAATGGCACAGTCTTGTAAACTTCCCGTTCAATACGAAAGTAAAAACACCGAGTATGGCATTGTGTTTCTTATCTGTGTATACTATATACAAGTAATGTACAAGTCTCGACTTGCAGATATGTGTTTTATCTGTCTATTCATCTGACTGTATCTGTGTCTATCTATTATTTGTGTACAATTGTTGTATATGTACAAGACGTCTCACCATATGATACCCGTGGGTGAGTTGTACTGACATCAGAGTGGGGTTATCAGATAAATAGTTACGCCTCGGGTGTAATATGTAATAGTTGTAATTTCAGTTATATCACGCTCTGACTGATATTATGTGGAAAGCCTCAAACTTTCACCGCATTGGTAAAATCCACGTGCGTCTATGATGCTGACAAACATCATTACAAAATCAGTCATAATCTGCGATTTATAGGATTCTGGCACGTTCATTTGTTGCAAATGTGTGCACTGCTACTGATCTAAACGTGCAAATGTGATAAGACACAAAACCTTTACTGAAGAGATATATAACTAAATCGTAAGTAAGTGAAATAAAATTGCTTGTCGCAAAAGTGGAATTATGATTTAAATGTCTTAAACGGGTTTTGGGGGTATTTTTTTTTTTTTTTGTAAACGAGACCCGTTATTATACACCATTGTTTTAAGACAAAGAAACATTGAATATTTTACATCGTCTGTTCGGTTGGGTTGGGTTAATAGACTCCCGACCTGGTATGATGTCACGACAGGTGTATTGCACTGTATTGAAAGTACTGTACTTACATCGATTACCATGACGTTTTTCCAACTGCGCCTATTTAAAATGCCATCTTACACGAAGCTCTGCCCACGTTTGACAACGTACGTGTGTACCTTCACGCAAACGATAAACACAGTGAACGATACACAGTAACCGAGATACTGAAAAGCTGTTTCCTAGATACGGCCGGAAGATCGATCGTTCAGAGCTGTAGAGTTTCCACATCGCTGTCCCACAGAGACACGTGTAAAGAAAAGCAGGCGAAACGCTAGATAATGCGTGGATCATTGTAATTAAGGTAAATGCACGTTACGCTGCAGAGCATTCCCCCCAGATCGTTGTATGAAACTGAAGAGAATATATTCGACCTGCTACAACAGTTCTTTGAAACAGGCGTTGGACCAAACTAACAACTAGTCTCTGAAATGAACATATACTAGTAATGATAAGGAGCCCTGAGAGTTTCTTCATTTTCAGCCTGAAGCTGTGGAAACCTAGACTTGCCACATTTTCTAGACTTTCATTATCATTATCATAGGATATTTACATAGCGCACATATCCAGGCAACTAGTGCATGCTCAAGGCGCTGGTATTTGTCCCCTCAATAATTGGATGTCAATCTTAACGTCACATCGTATTATCAATCTCAACTCCCTGGGGAGTATGCAACTCTTGCAGCCACAAGGCGCACCGAGTTATTGTGGCTTTCTCATCCTAACGAGGTACCCATTCACAGCTGGGTGGACTGGGTCACATAGTCACAGTACTTTGTCCAAATTCACTGCACGTTGCTGTACCCGCAACTAGGTGTTTGCACGTATTCATGTGGCCACCATCTGGTCATATACCAACGGATTCGTGGGTTCTTTTAAGTGCACAGGGTTGTGTACTGTACACTTGCGTGGGCTTTCTTGGATATATTTGCTTCAGGGTCTGTATGACAGACTAGCGTTGGACATGCTTCGAAATTCCTTCCACTATTGCTGTTCGTTGACTAACATCGCCGCAAAACCAAGGGAACCAACTTTTTCTGTGTTCCGGGTGTTTGTCGTAAATGAGAGGGGAGGTTGTACTGAAGATTATAATGAAGAAACAGACATACAGTGGAATCTGTCTTAATCGTACACTGGCGAATCCGGATCTTGTTTAATTACGGATTACATTCACTACGTCCATTTATCACAGTCTTGTGTGTTGTTTAACGCCACACCTAGCAATTATCTAGCTTTATGACAGCAGTCTGTTAATAAACATCTGGACCAGACAATCCAGTGACTGACCTCACGATCATCGATCTGGGCAGTTGGGATACGATGAGTCCTTCACTCCGGGTTATTTCACTCCCTGTTAAGTGTCCAAAGCGGATTCTCTGTTCGACCGTCAGGTTTAAATACCTGTCCCTCTCAAGTCCAGATTAGGCAGGTTCCGCTGTGTTGTGTTATCAATGAAGAGTTATTTTACCTGTAGGTGTTACCACATTTATTGAATCTCAGTCTAAGTAAACTTAGGCCAAGTATTATTCGTTACACTGCTATACTGAGTCTAACAAAAGCTAGTAGAAGGTCGCGTCAGCTAACCTTTTGGACTGACCAATCAGAACACAGCTTACTAAATCGCGAAAGTTCACATTCGCACATACCGTTTGAACCTTTACCTAAAAAACTCGAATGATTCCGAATGCTATTTTCCACACGATCGCTTCCGAGTGATACACATGGAGGGCGCAATGAGTAAACAGTCGCTGAAAATAGCGTTTTTGTCAATATTCAAGGATGTCATCTTGCGGATATATAAACTAATAGTAACCATGTCATTAAAACCCTAAGCGTATATACTGCAAATATCTGTGTTTCATGCGGATTTTCGTATATTGATACATCAGTGTCAGCGACCAGGGAAGAGAAAATCCAAAACCGTTTGGTAAGTCCCGCCAATCCCTAACCAGTAGCCGTTGTCTGATTGGTTAAAATCCGGCCGTCTCGCGTTTGATTGGACGGTCATAGGTCACACAAAAGGTTGGCAGACGCGCCCTTCTAGGTTACACAACACCAAATGTTTTCCCATAGACTTCTATAGTAGCCTTATATTTTTTTAAAATAATCCAGGCTATCAACAGCCATTCCATGTGCACATGGGTACACTCTGGCCTTTAAACTACCATAAAAAACACACTATCTGGCCAACTTGTCCGGCTCGTTTTGCGAGCACAGGAAGCGGAACACATCAACCCCAGATCCGCACCAAATGTCACCTACTGGAAAATATCTGTACACACAATAAGCATAAGTCATGGTGATGGAAATCCACAGCACTGAATACTTAAAATTGTGGTCAGTTTTAATTACTGGTTGGATATGCTTTTAAAAACATAAACATCTCACACTATTTCATCCAATCACAGCTGTCACATGTCTTTATCTCTTCATTTTGTTTACATACGCATCTCGCTCAGTGAGCAAGCGATTCTCATTTAGTGTAGTATAACCTCTACAAGGTTTTGTTAGACTCAGTATAGCAGTGTAACGAATAATACTGAGCCTAAGTTTATTTTACTGATTGAATCTGTCCTTTAAATTTGAAATGGACCTCAGTTGATTTCTCTCGTGCTTCCTACACGTATATATTCTCATATACAAGCAGGGTTTAAACTTGACTTACAAAAATCCGGGTTCAGGGGACCCCATCAATAAATATTACGGCACTTGCAAATAATATGAGGGTAATGTAAACTATTGAAATGGAGGAGTGAGTTTAGTTTGACGCCGCTTTTAGCAATATTCCAGCAATATCACGGCGGAAATGGGCTTCACACAATGTGCCCATGTGGGGAATCGAACCCTGGTCTTCGGCGTGACGAGCGAACGCCTTAACCACTAGGCTCCCCCACCGCCCCTTTTTGAAATGGTGTAGTGCAGGGGTAACTAATGTCCAACAAGATATTCTTAACTATAAACGACTCAAATCATTTTCAAGGATATTTTGTAAAAGAAGAAAGAAGATTTTGAAAAGTGTATATCTGACAAGCTCATCGCAACTAGACAAAATATTGATGACTTATGGAAGGAATTAAAGAAACTAACATCGACAACTTCTCATAATAGTATCAGTGGACAAGAGTGGAGCAAGCATTTTCAGACTTTATTAAACAGTGAACAAACGGAAACAACAATGGAAGATACAGTAAGCCATTTCTTATCTCAGCATGATAACCAGTGTTTACAGTGCGAGGACAACACACCGGATGTTCTAAATGCACATATAACTCTAGCTGAGGTAACAAGAACAATCAGAGAACTGAAGAGGAACAAGTCGCCTGGTTGTGATGGTATTCCCTCCGAATTACTTCTTCATTCTGCTGATGTTATAGCGCCTGTACTTTTACGCCTCTTCAACAAGATTCTTGAAACTGGAAACTTTCCTGATGACTGGTGTAAAGCAATTATATGTCCTATCCACAAGAAAGGATCTTTGAACGACGCAAACAACTACAGAGGGATCTCACTTCTATCAATAATTGGGAAGGTCTTTACAAAATATTGAACGAAAGATTACAGCAATGGACATCTGATAATGATATCATATATATGAAAACCAGGCTGGATTTAGGAAGGGATACGCAACGGTAGATAACATGTTCACTGTGTATGGAATGATCAGGAAATACCTCTCCAAGTCTGGTGGACGATTATACTGTTTCTTCATAGACTTCTCGAAGGCTTTCGATAACGTAAACCATTCTCATCTTTGGTATCGACTTATCACCTATAACATACATGGTAATATTCTGACAGTCCTACGGAATATGTATTCCAAACTAAAATCCTGTGTAAAACCTCCAGTGGTCTGACGAAATTCTTCCAGTGTTTTCAAGGAACTAGACAAGGTTGTATGCTAAGCCCGCTTCTCTTCAGCTTATTCATAAATGAACTGACAACGGAGATGATAACATCAGCATGTAGAGGCATACACATCTGCGACGATAACCCAAATGTTTGTTCTCTCTTGTATGCAGACGACGTAGCGAATACCACAGATACGGCGGGGAGGCTCCAGCAGCAGATTGATGTGCTCAGTACCTTTGTGATAAATGGGGACTTTCGCTCAATCTAGATAAATCCCAGATCGTTGTGTTTAGAAAAGGGGATACCTTCGGAACTATGAGAAATGGTTCTACAAAGGCACACGGATCCAGGTCGTGTCCTTCTACAAAGTATCTGGGACTCGTATTCACGCCCCGAGGAGTATGGACTCGTGCAACAACAACATTAGCACAGCAAGCTGAGAAAGCGTGTCATCTCATACAT